GCCCCCCCCCCCCCCCCACCCGGGTGAAAATTTCTGAAAGAAACACTGGGGTTGAGTTGGCCGATAGAAATAGGTTTTTATTTTATTATAAGGTAGCCCCACTCCAAACCGCTGAAAAGCAGTTTATACAAGTAAATTGCTGGTCAATTTTTTTTTTGTTTAAACAAAAATACGAAACAGTAATAAACTCATGAAGTCTCGCGAGATTCTCATTTCCCGAAACAGTCTCTAAATTTTCATTTTACCAATCTTTCGTGACTATCGACAGTTGATGCAGAAAATGTTTGCTTTATCGATCTTCTACGGTTAGCAGGTATGTTAAAACGAAAAGATAAAATTAATTATTGGTTTAAAAATTCCGTTCATATGCTTTTTGCATGTATGTTTAAAATATTAATCATATTGGCTGCTCTTGAGTTAGCGGTAAGGTCGGCGATGTGTTCCACAGTATATAGGTCACGGAGGTTTCTCCAAGTCCACTTCCGTCAATAGTGTTTACTAAAAAGTTTTCGATGTTTTTATTCACATAATGCAAGTTATTGTTTTCTTATTTTATATTTTTTGTTAAATAGTGGAGGGGTTTTGGAGAGGGGTCTCCCCTCCCCAGTCACTGGTAGTAAAAGATAATTCCAAATGCAATTTAAGTAGTCCTCGGTGATTTTAACTAATCAAAATACAGCATTTTTTTTTCACCGTGTTGGGTCTTGGGCCTTGGGGTATCCGCAAGGATGTGTTTATTTTTCCTCTCTTTTGAAACATGTAAGTTGAATTTTAATACAAGTTAATGGAAAATTTCATTTTAATATACTTAATATTAACCGTAATATTTATGAAGCAAGTAATGCAGAACAGGAATGTTATAACACACTCATTGTTCGGGTACTTAAAATAATAGATCTATTCACCCTAAGCCCAGTGTTGGGATTTCCCAATGTGACGTCACTGTGCTTAGGGTGAGAAAACTCTTGGCAAAACCCATACCATTAACTCAAGTTTTACCATTACATTTTACTGATTTCTTTGTGCACCTCGATTTCGCGAATTTTGGACCTTAGTAAGAACACTAAGGACCTTAGTGTTCTTTCAACGAAGTGGCTATTGGTATCCAGGTACCAGAAGTGAGAGGTTGGGCTTAAAAATCTATTTTAAATTTTATTGTTGGGTTTGTAAGACAAAATGAGGTATTAAATGAAAGATAATTGAATGGACTATATGTTTGTAAACTTAACTCTTCAGTTTAACTAAAATTACCACAAATGACAGCCCAATAGCACTGAGTCAAAATGGACCCAGACATGAAGCGCCGCCATTCACACCCGGGTACCATAAGACTCAAGCTAATCGGACATCATTTGTGGTAGTTTATTTTAATTAAAATGAAATGTAAGTTTACTAACATATAGTCCATTGAATTATCTTTCATTTGATATGATGATACACAGTAATGATGTAATTAATGAAGTAATAAGCTGTTCCACTGATGATAACTATAAGTTAGAAATTTTTTGTGGTAAAAAAAAATGCACAGCCCATTTATAAAAAAAACAAACTATTATTTTTCAGGTGTTCAAAGATCTTTAACATGGAAAAGGCTGATTTTAAATGTATTCCCTTTATTATAAGGAAAGATGATATTATACCAAAGTCAGGGATAGACACTGACTATCATAAACTCTTGAAGAAAGAAATGTATATTGATGTCAACCAAAAACAAGACATAGATGCTCACAGTTTGGACAATGTGACAGAGATAGATGCTGAATATAATAAACTCCTAAAGAACGAACTATATTATGTCAACCCAAAGCAAGATACAGACTCAGACAGATTGGTCAGTGTGAGTGTGATGGAAATAAATACTGACTTTCATAAACTCCTAGAGAAAGAAATATATACCGGTAGTGTTAACCCAATGCAAGATACAGACTCAGACAGCTTGGTCAGTTTGAAAGATGTAAATACTGAATATAATAAATTATTAAAGAAAGAAATATATGATGTTGACCCTACTAAATCTCAGAGAGCTAGTCACACAAGAATTCATCTGACTGGAGAGAAACCCTATAAATGTGACATTTGTTCTGCTACATTTAATCGTAAATCTTATAGAGATATGCACATACAAGCTCATACTGGAGAAAAACCCTATAAATGTGATATTTGTTCTGCTACATTCTGTACTAAATCAAATAGAGACAGACACACAAGAACTCATACTGGAGAGAAGCCCTATAAATGTGACATTTGTTCTGCTACATTTACTACTAAACGTTCAAGAGCTGTTCACACGAGAACTCATACTGGGGAGAAACCCTTTAAATGTGATATTTGTTCTGCTGCATTTTGTACTAAATTTGAAAAGGTAAACCACACAAGAATTCATCATACTGGAGAGAAACCCTATAAATGTAACATTTGTACTGCTGCATTTGCTACTGGTTCATATTTAACTTCACACAAAAGAATTCATACTGGAGAGAAACCCTATAAATGTGACATTTGTTCTGCTGCATTTGTTACTAAACATGGAAAATTAATACACACAAGAACTCATACTGGAGAGAAGCCCTATAAATGTGACATTTGTTCAGCTGCATTTTGTACTAAACATGGAAAATTAATACACACAAGAACTCATACTGGAGAGAAGCCCTATAAATGTGACATTTGTACTGCTGCTTTTGCTACTTGTTCAACTTTAACTTCACACAAAAGATTACACACTGGAGAGAAACCCTATAAATGTGATATTTGTTCCATTGCATTTGCTACTCAAGGTCAAAGAGATGATCACACAATAATTCATACTGGAGAGAAACCAAATAAATGTGACATTTTTTCTGCTGCATCTGTTACTAAATTTGAGAGAGATAGTCACACAAGAACTCATACTGGAGAAAAACCCTATAAATGTGACATTTGTTCTGCTGATTTTGGTACTAAAGCTAATAGAGATAGACATACAAGATCTCATACTGGAGAGAAACCCTATAAATGTGACATTTGTTCTGCTGCATTTACTACTAAATGTTCACGAGCTATTCACACAAGAAATCATACTGGGGAGAAACCTTATAAGTGTGGTATTTGTTCTGCTGCATTTTGTACTAAATATCAAAATGTAAACCACACAAGAATTCATCATACTGGAGAGAAACCCTATAAATGTGACATTTGTTCTGCTACATTTGCTACTGGTTCAACTTTAACTTCACACAAAAGAATACATAGTGGAGAGAAACCCTATAAATGTGACACTTGTTCTGCTGCATTTGCTAATAAATGTCATAGAGATAGTCACACAAGAACTCATACTGGAGAGAAACCCTATAAATGTGACATTTGTTCTGCTGCTTTTGTTTCTAATTCACATTTAACTTCACACAAAAGAAGACACTGGAGAGAAAAACCTTTATTTGTCTAATTAGTTCTATTGCATTTGTGACTCAATTTTTTTAGATTGACACATTAAAAGAAATACTGGAGGGAAACCCTTCAAATGTGACATTTATTCTACAATTCATTGCACAATTCTGACACAATATTGTTGATGCCTGTGGATATTACTTCAAAGCTACGTGATATTTTTAATTTTATACAATTCTGTTGTTCGCTGACGAATGCTTCCCGCAGACACATTAATATTTATGTTCCTTCCTTTTTTTAAGTTTAACTCTCCTTTGTTCACTCATTTTATGACATTTATTCAACAGCATTTTGCATTGAATCTGAAAGAACAATACTCACAGGAATCACTATTGGAAAGTTGCCCTTTAAATGTGATATTTCTTCAACTGCATTTTGTACCAAATATGAAAAAAGTCTATCCAGTAGAAGAAATACTGGATAGAAACCCAATAAATGTGACATTTGCAGGAGAGAAAACCTATGAATGTTAAATTGCTTTTGCTGCATTGCCAAATTTCTCTAAAATAGCTGGACATATTAGAAAACATTTAGAAGACTAACAATGGGACAATTTTTTTCTTATTTCACCTGTAGGTCTAATATGACATAGTTTCAATCTTTCTACTTCTCCAGTACTGCTAGGGGGCTACTAATGTTGTTTTTTTTTGTTTGTTTATTCTTTGAAGGAATTGACATTTAGTATAATTTTTAAAAGACACCAAATGGCTTGCCAGGAGTTGTCACATTGTAATAACTTAAGACCACATAC